AAAAAAAAAAAAATTGGGAAGACTGAAAGGTCCAGCAATAACATATATAATCTTGGGTGGTTCGTTTAATGAAAAACCATGAAGTCATTCCAAATGTTAGAGAAGAACATTCAATGCCTGGAGAAATGGTTATAAGTTATTAAGTGAAGTGTTTCAGAACACTAAGCCCATATTTGTAAAAAAAAACAATTTACTGCTTATATATAGTAAGATGAAAAGACACTAAAATGCTCACCCTGCTCCATTTGTGTTGATATGACAGATGACCTTTTAAATGTAGATTTTCTTTCTTTCTTTGAAAAGGTGGTACATTTACATGGTTCAGATTCAAACAGAAAGTTATCAAGTAAAAGTATCTCCTGGTGTCTAGCATCTTTGTCTCCCAGGCACCCAGTTCTCACCTGCAGGCAACTTGTGGGGTGCTATTTCGTGTGTACCTTTCCAGAGACATTTTATGCACATAAAAGTAGCTTTCCTTCCCATTTATGCAAAATAGCATATTCTATCTACACCTTATTCTGTACCTTCCTGCCTGCCCTTGATATAGCTCAGCGATACTTCCTTACCTCTATATAAAGAGTTTAAGAAAAAAAAAAAAAGATTTTATTTATTTGAGAGAGAAAACAAGTGGAGGGGAGAGTCAGGGAGAGGGAGAAGCAGGCGGGGCTTGATCCCAGGGATCCGGGATCATGACCTGAGCTGAAGGCAAAAGCTTAACCAACTGAGCCACCCAAGCACCCCTATAAAGAGCTTTTTCATTCCATTTTCCCCAAAAAATCTAGTATTCCACTATATGGATGTATCTAAATTTATATAACCCATCCCCTACTGACGGACCTTGGAGTGGGTAGACTGTGGCGAGTTGAATTGTGTCCCCCCAAAAGATACGTTCAAGTCCCAACCCCTAATACCTGTGAATGTGACCTTATTTGGATATAGGGCCTTTGTAGATATAATTAAGGATTATATAATTAAGAATTTTGAGATAAAATCGTCCTGGGTTTAAGGTCCACCGATACACCTAAGGCCCTAAATCCAGTGCAGGGTGTCCTTAGGCCCTAAATCCAGTGCAGGGTGTCCTTACAAGAAAGGGAGAGGACACACACAGAGACACAAGGAGAAACCCACATGAAGACAGAGGCAGATGTGGGCCCATGTTCCTACAAACCAAGGAATCCTTGGGATGATTGCTAATATCCTTTGTGGTTTTGTTTTCGTACCTGCGTTACATCTGTAATCTGGAAGAAAACATTAAAACATCTATGTTCAAGCTGCAGTAAGGAAAAACTGGCCTTCTCCCAACTCTGGTCCATTCTGCCCACAGAGCATGGCATCCTCCCATCACTCTCTGCTCAGAGAAATCAACAGCTACTGAGAGCCTACTATGTGCCGTGATGCACGGCAGTGGCTTCTGATCCACCCAGGAGGCAAAGCCCCACCCTTGGCCTGTCATTTGATACCTGCCATATTGTGGCTTTCTTGATCTACTAGGAGAATGGGAACTTCCACGGATTAACCAGGTCTTCTGAGCCAGCCCTGGTTGCGCAGATCCACCTGATAAAAAGCATGGATGCTGGAGCCAGACGCCCGGGGTTCTAACCCAGCTCTTAACCCAGCATTTAGCAGCCACGTGACTTCGGGCAAACTATCTAATCTCACTGCTTCAGTCTCATCGTTTGTAAAACGGGTGAGTACCTCCTTGTAGGGCTGATGTGATGGCGAAACGAGTTTTATGCCAAGTGCATGGAACAGTGCCTAGCACGTAGTAAGCGTCACCAAGCAACAGCTGTCAACAAGGCCCAAAGGAGCATGTGAAGTCAGCTGCCAAGGCCACAAAGGCCTTGAATCTGTCCAGATGCTTTTCTCTGAGACTCCCACTTCCAACACGCTTTGCTCACTTCTTGTCTTAGTCATCTATTGCTGTATAACAGTATCCCCACAAATTTAGCAGCTTAAAACATTTACTGGCTGTTTCTCTGGGTCGGGAGTCTGGGCCCAGCTTGGCCGGGTCCTCTGCACAGCTGCAGTCAAGCCTTGGCCAGGGCTGGGGCTCATCTGAACGGCCAGCTGGGGAAGGACCGGCTTCCAGTCTCCCGCGGTTTGGGCGGGCAGTGCTCCGTTCCTTGCAGACTGCTGGACCAGGAGCTTTGGTCCCCTGTTGGCAGTCAGCCTGAGGCTGCCCTAGTTCCTTGCCTCTTTGACTCTCCAACTGGGGCAGCACACACATGGCAGCTTGCTTCTCCAAAGGCAGGGAGAGAGGGTCTGTCTCTGGACAGATGTCCTGACAGCAGGACAGATGTAATGTTCTGTAACGTGATCATGGAAACATCTTGTCACCTTTGCCTTGTTGTGTTGCTTAGCAGCCACGGGTCTGGCCTATGTTGGAAGGAGATTCCATGAGATGTGCACACCTGGTGGTGGCAATTGTGGGAGCCACCTTCGTCTGTCAGGGTATTCAAATCCCCCTGCTCTGTAGAGCGCAGCCCAGGCCTCACACACCCCCGTCCCCCCCCACCAACTTGGAAGCTCCAGGCAGGTGTCTGAGTGAAGAGCAGCCTGGTTTCGTAGTGGGGATTTTCCTGGGGACCCTAGTCCCACAGCAGGGTTTTTTTTTTTTTCCAGCCAGGATTCCAGTTGGTGATGGGGAACACCACACTGTTTCTTTTTTTAAAGATTTTATTTATTTATTTATTTGAAAGAGCAATACAGAGAT